GAGAGAAGCAGGGCTTAAAGACACTTCCCTGGAGGGAACTGTGAGGGAAGGAAACTTTAATTGACATAGTTTGCTTCTTTTTTTTCCCATTTTTATATTGATGGCTAGCATATTTCTAGGGAAATTAAACATTTTTTATCAGTACAATATGGGTACCTTTATTCTACCTAATCCATTTTTAGGAATGGGTGACAGTAAGATAATGCCTGACAGGTGGAGATTTATTTTTCTCATGACACGAGAAGTCTAGAGTATTGATTAATTGCTCAGTGGCTGAGGGTTTTTATGGTTGTGACTCTAATTCTTGTGGCCTTGTCTTCATATTTGTTACTTTACTGTCTGTCCCCTCCCACCTGAGAAAACCAAAGCTTTCCCAGAACTGCCTCCATCCCCACCCTACCTAATATCCAGGAACTTTCTACTAAGGTCTCATTGGCTAGAAACAGGGCACCCCACAAGCTCTAACTGCAAAGGAGGCTGGGAGAGTGGAGACAGGGTTGTCAGAATAGGTCTAAACAGATCATGATTTCACTGCTTGGAATTAGACACTGACTCTGTGCATTCTCAGAAGTCTGTTTGCAAAGAAAGCGGGGGGCAAAGATGGGCAGTGGCCGGGCCGTTAGCAAAATGTCTTCTAAATCAGCATCCATTTTACTGTTCTTGCCTGTCTCAGTGGTAAGCACTTTTATTTGAAATAGCTTAATTATTGATCAAGACAAATTTATAAGTAGGTATCTCATCTTGTAGTTGAGAAAAATGAGGAAGCTAGTAGGTGATGGGGACATGGTTCCAACTCAGGCCCTCTGATGTCATGCTGGTGCCCTCACCCACTTTTCCATAGTGATTATATTAGAGCTAGAGACAAAGTGATTACCTGGCACCTCCTGAGAAAATGAAACATGATTTGTCAGACTTATTACTAGAGAGAAGACTCCGGAGTTTTCTCCATGCGAGTCCTGAGCTGAGAGTTTTTTGTCACAGCAAGTGACCCAGAATTTCCACGAAGCACAGTCTCTCTTCTGAGCCCCGAGACACTTTCATCTCTGTACCCATTTCAGGAATTCTATCTTGATCTTTTGTATCCTTCTGCCTGGGATCTCCTTTTTCTGTCAAATTATGGGCAAGTCCCAGGAAAGTATAACTCCTATAGTGTGGGTGACCCTGGCCATTTCTTGATTTGTGTCAATTACCCTTCTGTAATGAAATCTTTTCAAGAAACACACACAGTAAGTGTGCCTCCTTTCAGTGTTGGGGGGAGTTCACAGTTCACCCAGGATGCTGTTGCATATTTTCCACTCGGATGACGCTTACACCTGGTTTGAGGCCCGTCAGCTCTGGCCTGTGTGTCTAGCTGCACAACGGCAGAGGGTGTTGGTACTGTGCTCGCGTGTAAAGGGAGTTTAGCAGGACTCTCACAGAGGAAATCTAGAAGCCTCTTGTTTAGACTAGAGAAATGCTAGGGCATTCATTTTTTTACCTCTGCTTTTTGGCTGTGACGGACCTGGGCACACTGTGGTTAGCACAGTAAAATGCGATGCTCTCACACCTGTCCATTGGTATTGGGGAAGAAGACACTCTTCCCCTTTAATCCCCCCAATATCAACACATACTCTTAGCACTGGTCCTTCTCCTTTCCAACCTCCAACACAGAAATGAAAAGACATTCCGTGTATCTGACACATCACTAGCATTTCAGTGTAAGTGTTATCTGGTCTCCTCATAACCTTTCAGAATCTGAGACAGGTTTGGAGACCTTAGCACCACCCTCTAGAGCAGAGGTCAGCAAACTTTTTCTATAAAGGGCCAGATGGTCAATATTTTAGATTTTGACGGTCATATGACTTGTCAAAAATACTCAATGCCATCTATAATATGTAAGTAAATGAGTATGGCTATGTTCCAATACAACTTTATTTGTGGACTCTGAAATTTGAATGCCACATAATTTTCACATCCTAGAATCTTCTTTTATTTTTTCCAACTATTTAAAAATGAAAAAAACCTCCTTATCTCATGGATTGTCAAAAAAAATTGGACTATGGGCTGTAGTTTCTTGAGCCCTGCTTTAAAGCACCTCTGTTTAATAGAATATTCTGTAATGATGGAAATGCTGTATAACATCAAACACTTGAAATATGGCTAATACAACCGAGGAGCTGAATTTTTAATTCTAATTCATTGAAATAGAAATCTGATTTTAAAGAGCCACCTGTGACTAGTAGCTATTGTATTGGACAGTCCAGAGCTCTGCTGTTTATCTGAACAAGATTCAAAATTTCCAGTTTTTGTGTCTTTTAGATTAGAATTTTAACTTCCTGGAAGAAAATGTCTGGCCTAGTTAGGGCAAAATCACATAATGTAATAGACACTTGGCTTCTAGGAGTTCCCCTGTTGGTTGGGGTCAAGAGGGGTTGGTTCCTGCAGAAGAGAGCCTGAATATACAACACAACATGGGTTTGCTACAATTTCCTGAAGTCTTGCATTTCAAAAAGAGGTCTCTAATGGAAAGGAAAGGAATGATTTCAGAATGACACACTGTTGGTAGAATCAGCGCAGGAGAGAGATTTTGTGGCCGTACCTCATAATTCATACTGCAATGTTGACTTGTGTAACCCCAGGCCTGTTAGAAAATATAACTTATCATTTTAAAAGATGCTATTTGTGTAGTTGGTCAACAAGCACTATAAAGCATCTGCTATGTTCTAGGCACAGTGCTAGGTGCCCTTCACAAACGGTTTCAGATTTATTCTTCATCTTATGAACGTTCTCACACAAAATGCTGTTTTACGAAGAATTAAAATGAAATTAAATGACCTTATCATGAAAATACTATGGATTATTCTGTTACAGAGGGCATTTCAAAACTATATTATGAAAAAGTTAAGACTTGAGCCTTATGTCAACGTCTGAAACTCTGAAAAAGTTTATTAACATTCAGAGCTTTGTCTTTACAAATTAATGGCATGTTTACCAACTTAAGCTGCTGGTCATTCTTACCTGCTATTGGGAACCCCTTACCATCTCTGGAATGTCCTTATTTGTGTATGATGGGTGTGTGGAGATGGGGATACTAATTCTGAGTGAGAAATCGGGTAAGGCACCACTGACATTTCATTTAAGACTTAAGTGGTAGGAAGGTGCAAGTTAGGAAGGTTTGGGAGTAGAGATTTCTAGGAACAGCAATTGTAGAAGCTCTAAAGCAGGAATGAGCTTTCTTTGTTAAAGGAAAGGAAGGTGGCCAGAGGGGCTTGGAGTATAATGTAGCAGGAGGACACTGAGAGGTGAATTCTGAGGATGGGCAATGGTCAGATCATGACACAAGGCATGTTAAGCACAGACCCAGGAAGGGATCTCATATTAGCATACAGTAGACATAAGTGACATCACTGACTTTGAAGACTCAAGACTGTTAGTTTATGGCTGAGTTGAAGGTGAGGGATCAGCCTTCATGAATGGACATGCATCCAACTGAAATAGAAAATAGGTTTATAGAATCATGTCCCCAGTTTCCTTTAAGGTATCGCAGACCAAGTAGTTCAGAATGAAATGTCTCATACGGAATGCAGCAGAGGGATCTGGCTGTCCAGAAACCTCTGGCTATGTGTGAATTGGAATGCTGGTAAATTGAAGGACTCAGATGACCAAGAGATACTAGCATATCAAATCAAAGAAGATGTAGAGCTAGGATATCTGACACAATTTGCTCTGAACAGAAATTAACAAAAATGCTAAAGAACTAGAAAGTAAAACAACAAATCAAAACAAATGTACAAACCTATGAACTCTCTAGAGCCCCAAAGAAGCTGAATATGCCACTTGGTCTGTAGTCTGGTTGCTGGAGCCTGGCACAGCAAACCAAGGGTTTGAATCGGAATCGGTAGAGGTGCCATGACCACAGTGTTTTAAATTTCTATGAATGAAAGAAAAAATAGGATTCCATGATAGAGATAATTCACTTATTTCATTATTAATGTTTGGAAATATACCTATGAACAAGGAATTTACAAGGTAGTGTTTTCCATGGAGGACATTGAAACCATTTTGAACACATTCATTTGTGGTGGTAAAGTGGGGATGACAATTATTACTGAAAAGGCAGGCATACGTGACTATGGAGACAGAATGTGACTCTAAAGAACCTGTTCAAATCCATCAACCCTGTCGTACAGGCCACTGGTTTGAGGTTTCTGCCCAGTTTTTGAACACTGGCACAAAGGTGGTGTGATGTCACCATCAGATGTAACTTACTCAGTTCATTATGGGTATCAAAGTTATTAGAAATCACACTTTAGAGAATACAGACTCGGTGTTACAAAAAATGTTTTTTAATTTATGAAGATGCAAAATTTTTATTGCTAACAATAACAGTGGCTTAATAGTATGTAATACAGAAAAGTACTATAATCCCCAGAAAATTTTATCAAGATTTTAAGGCCTTTTTATGGTTATTTGAGGAAAGATAAGGCAACAATGCATATTTTCCAAGAACTTTAAATATAAAGCTTAAGAATTCCCAAGTTTTAAGTTGTTAAGGAGGTCAGTTAGATATTTTGTGTAGCTGATTCATCCCAACCATTCTACTTTACTTTTAACCATTGAAGAAGCTTCTTGATGACATGAGATGAGCATAAAAGTGGTAAAGGAAGGGGTTGCAAAGGCAGTGAATGTGGACTTGTAGTGTGGGTGTGGGGAGATGTGATCCATTTTCCAGACTCCACTGTATCTTTCTGTTTCAAAGATATAATTGGAAATTAAAAAATAAGCCACTATACTTAACTCAAGCACAAATGATAACTGTGGCCCAGGGATAAGATGTGATTTTTATTGTATAAATATTAACTATCATTTTCTTTCTAGCGAGGCTATTTCACTGTACCTGCTGAGCTGTATAATTTCTTGTAAGTTTCAAAATAAAACAACAACAAAAAAAAAAACCCCAAAAAACCCACTTCAGTTCTGCTTCTTCTAATTAAATTATATCTTATATTACATCTTTGCAGCTGAGTAATCACCAGCCAGTGCCTTCGGCCCTAGACGGTGTAGCTTAAGAGGACCATTTCTCCTGGCATTGCGATATTGATCAGCCTTGCTGCCTCCCATCAGATACACTTGGCCTTTTCTGGTAAGCCCAGTTCTCATATATCTCTGAGTCCCAAACGCAAGCCAGGGATGAAAAGTCATTTTTCTGCAGTATGACAGAATGAAGCCCTACATAGAAATACCTACTCTAACTTCTTTTAAAAAGTGCTTACTTGACTGTAAAATAACTCAGTTTTAGAAAATGCTCTTTTCCTATTTCCACAATCTTAGGCGCTTTCTTTTAGCACCATGCACATAATAGTAGAAGTAAAGTATGAACGGTGAAAATACCACCTGAGAAATGAATTATGGTTAAAATAATTGTTGAAGGAGAGCGAAGGTGATTTGAAGCCCACGCAGTTCTAACCCTCTGCTTCCCCCCAAAGGAGGATTCTGCCAGGAACACCATATGATATAATCAGGGGGGAGGGAGGCTTTCCAAAGACCGCTGAGCACTTATATTCTGGTAACCAGGTCATGTCCTATCCTATTCCTGTAATCTTTTTTGACAAACAAGAACAAGTTTTCTTCACCTTTTGGACATCAGAGAAATCTGATGCCCCCAATATTGACTTTTTAATGTAATTGCAATCTTATTTGATGGAATTTTGAACAAATAGGAGTAACAGTCCTGGATGTCAATTCGAATATATGCCCATTAAAAGACTTGGTGATGCAAATACACGTACACACGTACAAATACTCTTTTGGAATGGAATGAAGTGATTCTGATGGTTTTAGATTCTTCTTTAGAAAGATCATCAATTATTTAAGTTTTGAATGCAGCCCTCCAGGGGAGAATGTAATCTATAAGTGGCTGAGATTTTCAATTATACCTAGTCATTTGTCAAATGTTCACTTCACTTAGCATGAATGTTTATTGATAATTTTTATAGTCTCTAGGTTACGATGTCTGATCTTTTTGATCACTTTTTTCTTTTAATATTTATACCTTCAGATATAATTAGTGATTGCTCATCAATTTAAAAAGCTACTTAATAGCCTTTAAATATGCATTTGTAAATGTCCTTGGCTGGTTTGAATGTCTTTGTGTGTGTGTGTGTGTGTGTGTGAAGTTCTTCCTAAATAGCCACAATACAAGAATAAAGCATTTAAGACTGGCTTAAATATACAAACTGTTCAGTTCAAACCTATGTAAATTATCTTGGGTTCAATTATGTTATTCCATCTGTTTTTATCATCTGTTGTTACAATACTTTATCATTTCTACATGGTATTAAAATGTAAATGAATCGAGAGGAAACACATCTGTGGACGGTTAGTTAATAAAACTACATTCGGCAAGTGAGCTGTCATAATAATTAATTAAATTTCACTGCCCATATACGCTTGTAATTGTATATTTAGTGTTTATTTGCATAATCACATAATGGGATCTATATGATTCATGCTTTGTTGAGCATAATCTGTATACACAAATTACCACTTCCAAACGAGTTGCTGAATTTTATTTTATTTATTTTTATACAGCAGGTTCTTATTAGTTATCTATTTTATCCATATTAGTGTATATATGTCAATCCCAATCTCTCAGTTCATCCCACCACCCACCCCTCCCCCCTGCTTTCCCCTCTTGGTGTCCATACATTTGTTCTCTACATCTGTGTCTCTATTTCTGCCTTGCAAACTGGTTCATCTGTACCATTTTTCTAGGTTCTACATATATGCGTTAATATACAATATTTGTTGTTCTCTTTCTGACTTACTCTGTATGACAGTAGGTTACATATTCTTAAAGTTCAGCAAAGTAACAGACTGAAAAGACAATTCAGGTTACAGACAAGTCCTGGCTTTGTTCTTTGAAATCCTGCTTTTAAAAGTGCACTGGTATTGTATTTAGTAGTTTTTGATCAGGGAAAGATTTGCTCTTTTGAAGAGGTGGTGTGAACAGGTTAGATTAGGTATTGTTCTGAGCCAGGTTATATTTTAGGACCCCACATATAAGAATTTTTGATTCACTAATATTCCAGTTAGTCTAATCCCACAAATAATTGATTTAATTTTTCAAAATGGAGCCTAGATAGTTGTTTTAGGACCATATCCTGGGGCAAAATTGTGCATACTGGCCTTAAACTCTTAGATGTATACAATTTACAACATTTGCTGAAGGTGACAGGGGACACTTTTCAGGAGTGACATACTGTAAACAGCAGGCTCTAGACACAATCTGTTTCGAGCAATGACCACCTCTACCTCCTCAAAACCCAGTCCTCTCCAGTTGCCCTGTGTTGAGCTGATCAAAATAACGCACAGCAAGTTTTGAGTGACAAAGGCTTAACCTCTCAGGTTTATCTGCGTAATGAAAATGAAGCTTTTAATTAATTAGATTTTAAAGATGTCAGTCTGCTCTAACCACTCCCATGCCTGCTACCATTTCCTGCCCCCCTCAGTGCATCAAGTTCAAGTTTAAAGTTCTCAGTGCATTTAGCATTGCCTGTCAGGTCCTTCATCATCTGATCATCTTGGCTTTCCTCTTCTGCCTTCCTCATCTCTCACAGTTGTCCGTCTATGACTTAAGAACTGAATTGCCAAGAAACCTCAGGTGAGCACAGGTTGAGTATTATTTTTTTTTAAATTGAGAAAATGGTGTCAGAGACTAGACTGTTTCAGTCTCACAATTATATTCTTCCCTGTGCTAATGCCAGATTAAGGAGTAGGTCAGTTGGGTGGCTGTTCCAGGTACCAGTCACTTGAAAATGCTGAAATGTGATTGGAACAAATGAGAAATATGGAACCAGTTAACTCATGTATCTAAGTGCAATACCTTTAATAACCGGACAAAATTAAAAAGTGCCCCTTATTCTGCCGAAGGAGATTGTGCCCTTGAGTGAAAATAAAAACGCAGCACATCACAGGTGCTCTGCACTGGTTTATCTACTGAGCACTCTTCCAATGGGCAGAGCAGATTCAAGCTGCAAGTTGAAGAGCTAGGGCAGGCCACCAACCCAGAGAACAACCAGAGGCACAGTTAACTGAAATTCCAAAGGAAATCAAACATTACTAATCATTAAGAATGAGTGGGTTTGTTTTGGTATTTACATTTTAAACTCTTTTTGGAAAATATATGCTCCCTCCTTAAAAAAAAAAATTCTTCTCAAAAATTTAAGAAAAACCTGCACGTAGAACAAAATCTATAGAAAAGATGGAAATACTTTGTTGCCCTGGAAATAAAAGAACATAAACATTTTAAACATATTTTGAAAAAGCCTAATTGGGAAAAAACCCTCTATAATTCATGACATTTTCAAATAAGTTAAAATGCGATATCACATCAGTGCATTTAACAATTGCTTATTTTGAACATAAGGAAGAGACGTGATTTTGATTAAAATAACATGTTTCTCCCTGTCTCTGCGAAACATTGAACCCTCAGTTTCCTTCTGTGTCTCCTTGTCAGCAGGAACAACTCCTCCTCTCCTACGTAGCCTTCTCTCTTTTTAAAACTTTTAATTCTGAATTAATTTCAGACTTACAAAAACTTGCAAAAATAGTACAAAGAGTTCCTCATACACTTCAGCCAGCTTCTCTGTGAATAATGCTTCTGACAGTACACCATTGGTAGACTCATGGATGACTTACTCAGCCTAAAGTGATCCCACACAAGAGCATATCTGACAGAGGAAATCGTTTCACAGCACAAGTGAGCCTGTGGGCCACGGAATCCTCTAGTTATAATTTACCCTGTAACCCAGAAAAAGTTGGCTTCATAGAACAATGGAATGGCCTACTGAAAACTCATTATGGCTCCAGCTGGGATATGATGCCCTGCAAATTGGTGATGCTGTCCTACAAGATGCCACACATGCTTTGAATTGGCAGCTAATATAGAATGTTCTTTCTCCCATAGCCGAATCCAAGGGGTAGGAGTAGGAGTGATTCCTTTCACTGTTATATCTAATAATTCCTCCCTTCCCCACAACTCTGGTCTCTAATGACTTTTGATTTCATTCCCACAACCTTGATTTTAGATGTTTCAGAAGTTTTTGTTACTAGGGGAGAAGGCTTCACTAGGGGTATGGAGGGGTGGCATAAAGATGGTTTCTGTGTGTTGAATTGGAGTTGAAGTTACCACTTGGCCACATTGGGCTCTTCATGTCACTGAACCAGTAGATGGAAAAAGAGGTTACTAGCCTCTTTTAGTTTAGTCTCAGCTAGTCTTAGTCTACTAGCTGAGAAGACTGATTCCAGTTGACAAGGGAAAGTTGGATTGCTCTTGCAATGGAGATGCCTGGGACCCAGAGTATTCACTGGGCACTTAGGACTTTCAGATAGAATAAAAAAAGTTAATGTGAGACCAGAACAATCCAGTAAAGGCTGGACCACTAAAGGCTGAGCTTCTTCAGAGAAGAATCTGTAGGTCACTCCGCCAGGCAGAGAATCTCTACCGCCAAGGTGTTGGCTAAGGGCTAAGGGCAAAGGGAACATGGAATGGATGGTAGAAGAAGGATGTGTTAAAATAGTAACAATCACTCATGATCAGTTACTAGAAGGAAGACCAGAAAAGATATGCATATTTTATATATGTGTGTGTATATTCACATGTATAATGAATACGAGTTCTGTGTGTATTGAGAAAGAAGAAAAGCAGCCTCCATCATCTGGTAACTGGTCTGCTGCTCATAGCTAGCCCAAATTATTCTCCTGTTGGATATAAACAGTTTCACAGAACATCAATATCAGACAAGGTCAGTCTGAGACCACAACGAAGTGAGACAAAAGCAAGGCCACTGAGCCAGCCACAAACAACCAAACATCCTCTTCTCCCAGATAATAAGAGTGACTGCTGCTTCTTTTTCGGTTTCAGATTTATCCTCGTTCTAGTTTACCCCCATTATAGATAAGGTTTTTTGAGTCACCCCATCATAGACGGCTTTCTGACAGCACTCAATCTAAGGGGAACCCCCACTTCCTCAGAGCATCCTCAAATCACCCAGCTAAAGCCCGAGTCCTACCCTGTAACAGGTTATCTTTCACACCACCTTACCAAGTCAACTCTTGGTTCCCATGGCATGTGTTCTCCCT